AGTTGCTGATTATCAAGAGAATCAGAAGAAGAAGCAGAAGTAATCAAGTCTAATGAAATATCATTCAACTGACCTGAATTACAAAATATCAGACTTAATAGTTTATTGTTTTGTTTATTATAATAAATAAAGAAGTAGATTCTTGTTTGTTAAAGCTATTCCACTGCCTCATGGGCTCTGTGATTGCTCNTATAGTACTAATGATTTACATATCGACCTCTTATTATTTTTCACAAAATAAAAAAAAAAGATGATGAAATGTCATAAGTGAACTAATTAAGTGTTGATGAACATCTCTTTATACCCCATTATAGTTTTTCCTTTCGTGTGTTCGAGCAGATGCGCAGAGAAAGACGCAAAATCTTCAGCATCGCGTGCTTTGTCGTTTCTCATAGTAAAATATTTCATTTCTGTTTTCATTTCTTTAATATATATGAATTACTAGCTTAATCAGTGTTCGATATTTTTATTCATTTATTAAACTTTCTAATTTTAATCTCAACAAATTTATAAGTTAGAATGATATGCGAATAAAACATTTAAAAAGACACTTTTTCCAAAAATTCAAAGACAATTATTTCTTTGTTTTCAGATTCAATGTCTCTGACAGTGGCCACTCTCCAGATCAATAAGAAGCAAATCACTATGATTCCTTCTGGAAATTTCATCTTCAAGAGTTCAATAAAAACTGCTTTCTTATTGAGTGACAATGACAATCGTTAGTTTATCATATAAGTTAGGTGACAAAAAAAATTTTCTGCGAGTAAGTCACTTGTCGATCATTTCTGATTTATTTCAATTGATTAAGATCTCGAACAACAAGTCACAGCAAGGAGTGTTTTGGCCAGAGCCATGTTTTTTGCTGCCGGACTTCTGGCCAACTTTACTGTTTTCCGTGGACTAGAAGACGCCATCTACAAGACAAGGAACTCCAGCCAACCAGGTTGTGGCAGAAAGACTCGTTAGTCCGTACCTTTCATGTAAGATTCAACTCGAATTGGTATTGAAAATGTATAATCTTTTTATTCAGATCCTCCTGATCCTGCTCCAAGGGCTGAATCGTTCAAAAAATGGATGTACTATTTACTTGATAATTGCATAAAATCAGCTGTCATCTGCGTCCACCCAAATTTTTTCGTGACGTTCCGACATGGAAGTCATTGCGAGTTTAAACTCAACGACCAATTGATAATTTATTCGGTCACTTTGGAAACTGAGGA